GCCATCTGCTGGTCCCACTATTTTTTTTTTTAATTTACTACAGGGCATGTGCTCTCACCAGAGAGACACAGGGACACGGGGGGGAGGGGCGGGGGGGGGGACGCAAGGGAGGGGAGAGAGAAAGAAGGAAAGTGAGAAAGCCAACTGCCAGGTCCGGGCCTCAAACCACCTTTGGCCACCATGGTTTTGGCCAGGTCCGGGCCTCAAACCACCTTTGGCCACATGGGCTTGCTGGTGGTTAACCGCCACACCACCTGCTGGCCCAGGAGTGGCTATTTATTGAGCACCTGCAAAGTTCCAGGCTCACATGGGCACTTTGATGTAGGCCAGCAGAGACCTCTGCCAGGATCCTGAAAGACCCCCTGAAATAGGGAAATTCACCCCCCTCTTCAGAGAAGCACCCGGCAGAGGAACATGGCTCTCTGGAGAATGGGGAGCACTCCGGCTCGCGGCAGCTGAGGCACCGCCCTGCCTCGTTAAACCATCACGCCAGGCCACCAGGGGGAACCGTCACTCACTGTGAGTGTGAGGAAGCAGGGGCTCATAAAAGGAGGTGACATGCTTGAGGGTGTCCAACGCCAAGTGGCGGATCCAGGACCAGAACAGAGATCCTCAGACTGCAAAGTCCACCCCCACTTAACATCCCAACCTTCTCAAGGTGCAGACAGCCCTTTCTCTCTGCAGAGTCCCACCGGTCAGCCCAGAATCGCTTCATCCCCGCCCATAGCCTGAACTCCCCTTTCCTTGGCCACAACCAAAGGGCTCTCGGAGGAAGCCTGAAATCCTAGGTAGAAGTCCACTCGTCACGCAGGGAAGAAGCAGAGTGCCAGGCAGCAGGACGGACGTTACCCAGGCTCCTGCCTCCATGTGACTTATGCTGTTCCCTTCAGCCCAACCTCACGGGGCCCTGGAGGAGGTTGGACGGTCACACCCATCACCCACACAGAGCAACCGAAGCTGACGGCTAACTGGTTCTGCAGACCAGATGGCAGAATGGTGCACCAGGGTCGGAGCCAGGCTGCTCTGAGCCTAGAGCCCCCGACGCTCTGCACACCTGCCCTCTCCCACCCTGTGGGGGCACAGACATGGCCTCCAGAAGGGTGCCCGGCTGGGCAGAAGGACACACTAAGCAATTCTCTTCTGCATCCCTGAGCTGCACATGGCCATGGGGACAGGGAACGGGCCTGAGACAGTCCCAGGATGACAGAAGAGGCAGACAGATGACACCAGTCCCCAGGCCTCCTCAACGCTGCACCAGGCTGCAGATCAGAGGCTCCGTGGGGAGGAGGGTTTTCCAAAACAGAACCAGGACCTCAGCAGGCGTCTGCTCCCGGGCCCAGAGGTACCCGCGCATGTGCACTCAGCTCTCAGACTTTTCCTTCCCGTAACCGGTTTCCCGGTTTTCTCAACCAGATGTGCAAGTCCTTTTGAAACCTGATCCACCCACTGTCCAGCACCATCCTCTGCTGGCTCAGAGCAGGATTCTGGAGTTGGTTCAGCACATCAGCACAGGTGAAGTGGGGGGATTGGGAAATGCGAAACCCATGAGGTGCATCTCAGCCCTTCCTCTGTCCACGCCTACCCTGGGTGCCCCTGCTCTGAGCGGGCCCTCAGTCTGGCCCTACCCAGGTCTCCGGCTCTGCCTCCTCCCCTGGATGCACTCCATAAGGCCAGGCCGAATGCCTCACAGGAATTTCCCGGAGCAACCCCCTGCCTCCCTGACACCCACGGACCGGGCCCCTGCCTGGCCGCCCCGTGCCCTGAACAGGACAGGACTCCGGCTCCTGCCATGTCCGGAAGACTCACGTCCAAACCTGGCTGCTTCATTAACTCGGGTCACAGTGTCCTCACCTGTAAGGGGCAGAGTCCCCTCCCCCTGGACTGCTGACCAGACAAGATTGTGTACAGGCATGCCGGACCCGCGCCAGGCACCCAGTGAAGGCCTGGAGAACCCGGCAGACGGGGTGGCTGTCACCGCTCTCCCCACATAGCCCGCTGTGTCTGCCCAAGCCC